AGGAGGAGGAGGAGGAGGAGGGGGAGAGGAGGAGGAGGGCGAGGAGGAGGAGAGAGGAGGGAGGGCGAGGAGGAGGAGGGAAGGAGGGGGAGGAGGAGGTGGAAGGAGGGGAGAGGAGGGGAGGAGGGAGGGGAGAGGAGGAGGGAGAGGAGGAGGAGGAGAGAAGGAGGAGGAAGAGAGGGGGAGGAGGAGGAGGAGGGGGAGGAGACGCCTTGAGCCGAGGAGGAGGAGGGGGAGGAGAGGGAGGAGGGAAACGTGTCAGCGGCGGGCTGGGGATCCGGGCGGCCCGGCGCTGGTGGACGGGAGTCCGGGAGTCCGGGAGTCCGGGAGTCCGGGAGTCCGGCGGGAGCCGGCGGAGGCGGGCGGGCGCGGCGGGCGGGGCCGAGCGGGGCCGCGCGCGGCGGGAGAGGAGCCCCGGTCCCTCGTCGCTCCGGGTGAGAGAACTTCCCCGGGAAGCCCGGAAACTTCCCCGGCGCGCGGCGTCCCGGGCGGGGGAGGCCGGTCCCGGAGAGCTCGGGTGACTCAGCGCCGGGACCCCGGGCGGTGCGCGGGGAAGCCCCGGGGGGGGGGCGAGTCTCGGTGCAGCGGGCTCGGATGGGGCCGGATGGGGCCGGCGGGCGGGGACCCTCATCCCGGACCGGCCGGCGACCTCCGGGGGGGGGGGGGCGGGGGCCGGGGATGCCGCCGGCCGCGGGACCGCGGGACCCGGGCTGTGCCCGCAGGTCGAAAAAGAAAGTTTTCCGGCTGCCTTCCCGGGCTCTCCGCGGCGGGGGGCGGGGGGGGGCACTGCTGGGGACCTGGGGCGCGCGACCTCCCTGCCTCCCGCGTTGCCTGCCCCGGGCTCCCCCGGCTCCCCCGGCTCCACGGAGCGCGGCGGCCGGGGCGCAGCCCGCGACACCCCCCGCCCCCTCCCCCGCCCCGGCGCGGACCTCGTCCCTGCGCGCCCCGTCCCGCGGCCGCGACCCCCGTTGCCGGCGCCCTGCCCCCCCCCCCCCCCGCAGCCCGTTCCCGAGGCCGAGCCCCGCAGCCTGCGCTGGCAGGACCCGGCCCGCGGGAGGTCGCCCCTGCGCCCGCGCCCGCCCCCGCCCCGGGTCACACGCCGCCGCCTCGTCCCCCGGGCCCGGAGCCGCGAGGCGTCGGCCCGCAGGAAGGCGGGGAGCACCTCTGGGCGCCCGGCGGGAGGCCCGTGGGGTCCCGAGAGCGGCCCGAGCGCCCCGGGCGGCCCCCCGCGTCGGGCCGCGCGCCCTGGAGCCGGTGCGCGCAGGCCGGGCACGCTCCGAGGCCCCCGCGGGGTGCGCGCCGCCCCGGGCACCGGGCGCTGGTGGAGCAGGCCCCGCGCACCCAGCACCGGCCTCGGGGGGCGCCCTCCGGGGACCCTGACACTGGCCCGCGCCGCACGGCTGCCCCGCTGGGCGCCGAGCTCGGGTAAATCGCTGTCGGGGGAAGGCGCCGCTCTGGACGCCGCGGGGCCGCAGGTGGGTCCGCTTGGCAGATGCTCAGGTGTCCTCCCTGGAAGCCTCGGGGCCTGGCGGGGTCCCCAGGAGGACGGCGGGCGGTGCAGCGGGCGCCCTCCCTGCGGAGCGTGGCTGCGGCCGAGCTGCTCCCCCCACCGAGGGGGCTGGTGAGAGCGCTTTCCCTCGGCAACCACCAGGTGAAGGCAACGATGCTTCATCAGTGCACACAGGTTGTCTTTGGTTTTTCGAGCCCTGACCACAGTCCTTTCGGTATTTTATGGATGCTTCAAACAGCCAGAGCCAGGAATAGTGGAAAGAAAGAAAGAGACAGAGACAGAGAAAGAAAGAAAGAAAGAGAAAGAAAGAAAGAAGAAAGAAGAAAGAAAGAAAGAAAGAAAGAAGAGAGAAAGAGAAAAGAGAAATAAAAGAAGGAAGGAAGAGAGGAAGAAAGAAAGAAAAAGAAAAAGAGAAAAGAAAGAAGAAAGAGAAAGAAAGGAAGGAGGGACGGAAGGAAAGAAAGAAAGAGAAAGAAAGAAAACAGAAAAAAAGAAAGAAAGAAGAAAAATAAAAAGAGAGAAAGAGAAAAAGAGAAAGAAAAGGAAGGAAGGAAAGGAAGAGAGAGGGAGAAAGAAAAAAGAAAAAGAAAACAGAAAGAAAGAAAAAGAAGGGAGGGAGGGAAGGAAGGAAGTAAAGAAAGAAAGGAAGAGAGAAAGAAAGAAGACAGAAAGAAAGAAAGAGAAAGAGAAAGGAGGAAGGGAAGGAAAGAAAGAGAAAGAAAGAGAAAGAGAAAAAGAAAGAAAAAAGAAAAAGAGAAAGAGAAAAAGAGAAAGAAAAGGAAGGAAGGAAGACAGAGAGGGAGAAAGAAAGAAAAAAAGAAAGAAAACAGAAAGAAGGGAGGGAAGGAAGGAAAGAAAGGAAGAGAAAGAAAACAGAGGAAGAAAGAGAAAGAAAGAAAAGGAAAAAAGAAAGAAAGAAGGGAGGGAAGGAAGGAAGGAAAGAAGAAAGAAAGAAAGAAAGAAAGAAAGAAAGAAAGAAAGGCGCTTAGAAATGAGCTAGTCCATCCGCCTTAATTCTCCAGGCGTTAGAAAAACTCCCTTGTTTCTTAAGGAGGAGACCTCCTTCCTCCTTTCTTTCAGGTACAGAGGCCCATGGATGTATATCTCGGTGCACGAGACTTCAATAACGATTGGTATTTGAACGTTATAAAAATGTTTCCTTTATTTAAAAAAGGAGGAAGGGGTGGGGGCCAGCACCTCGTGAGTTATTATGTCTTCAGCTTTGCCTTCCGAGACACTGGTGATACCATCTGCACCAAAGCAGTGATGAGGAAGGAGGGTACCGTTAGATCCCCAGCCCCACAGGGGTGAGCCCACTGAGTAGTGTGTCCGAAGCCACACACGCGCAGGGCTGGAGCTGAGGATGGGGTCTGGGCCTGTGGCTCCGGGCCTCCAGGGGCGGCCAGTACTGGACACCTTCCCTTCAGTTTGTTGTTTCTCGGTGGTTGATTAGATCATCTTCTCGTTGAGTAACTTGGTGGCTTCTTCTTTCTTATTTTTTCTCTACGTCACATAGTACCACAGAATGACTCAATTACTGAAGGGGGGGAAAAAAGCCCTAATCTTGTACTTAGAAAACTGTTACACAGGCACCTGAAAATACCCTGCCGGCTGTCCAGCCCTGGATGTCGTCATCTTCAAGTTTGCTCATCGACAGTGTATGTGCAGCATTTCGACCTTTTATCCGTAGAGAATTGAACTATTAGGACTTTGTGGATGTCTTAATGATGTCTCGATCCTCATTGCTTCCTGTGGTCATTCCTTTTGTAGGGCCCTTGTACGCGGTCAGGCATACTGAAATCTTTCTTGAATTGCAGCCTTTTTTTCCTTTCAATCACTTTCGCAGAGCTACACCACTACAGAGTTGATTCGAGACATAGGGTGGGAGCGTCTTGGAGAGATCCCTGCTATTTAATGTTTCTCATTAAAAGTTGGTTCTTGGGGCACCTGGGTGGCTCAGATAGTAGGGCATCTGCCTTCATCTCAGGTCATGGTCTCCGGGTCCCAGGATCGAGCCCCACATTAGGCTTCCTGCTTCTCAGGGAGTCTGCTTCTCCCTCTCCCCCTGCCTCTGCTCATGTGCTCTCTCTCTCTCTCTCTCTCTGTCTCAAATGAACCAAAAAAAAAAAAAAAAGTTTGTGCCCTAGAACTGCCTCTCTTTATGCAAATGTTGAAAGTACAGCTTTCAGACCATATCATTTGTTAACAAGTCAGTGTGAATTAGTTTCTCAATCACCGAAGATAGAGAATACAATTATTTCGTGGATTTGGGGCCAGGTTAGGAATTTGGGAACAGAGAGCGTGATAGCCTGGTCAGCAGAAGGCAGTGTTTTACAAAGGAAGATTCCGCTTTGGAGCCAGGAAGGAGGTCGGGAGTGTAAAATGATGCAAAGCAATGATGAGACATCAGAGGTGACCTTGAGTTGATGAACATTTTTATCAGGGCCTGGGGATCCAGGGTTTACTTCGAAACTTGTGCAGTGAAAACATCCAGGCCGGCTTATTTCTTGGGCGACTGCTATGAGCCAGGTACAGCCATGGTGATGGCACTCGAGCCTCTCGGCAGCCTGAGCGGGTGAATATTCTTTTCCCTATTTGAAGATGTGCACACAGAGGCTCAGAGAGGTTGATTCCTCTCCTGACATAACAGCCATTAACTTAAGCCCCTTGTTCTTTCTAGTACGTTTTGATATCTACCGTTGAAGGCCTTCCGTGAAGAATCCAGGGTGCCAAGTACTCAGGAGAGTCCTGGTGGCTCACACGGAAGCTTCTGGATTGGAAGTGGATACCCGAGCAGTGCAGGAGCTCTAAAAAGGAGGGGATAGGAGGTGGAAGAAGGAGGGAGGCCCTGCGGACACTTTGAATATAGCGAATTACTAGCCTCGGTCTGGCAGGGGCTGGCTCTCACGCCCACCTGAAGCGGGCCCTGGTCATTGGCTTGCCTCACGGGGTACCCAGAGGGGGCAAGTGCGGCAGGACCCCCACCTGCCTCCGCTGTGCGTGATGCCGCCCGGTTGGAATCCCCAGTTTATAGGCGGTTTAAATTAGGGAGCTCCTGAGACCTGTTTCCATTTTAATTGGACTTGGCCTTTTGTGGTAATAGTCACCCAATCTCTGTCTTTAAGTATTCTTTTCTTATGCTTTGCCAGTTTATGGCCTTTGTAGATCAATCCTTGGATTTCATTTAGAAGAGAGGGGGGGGGGAACCCAGCAAAGGTTAGTGATTACCTAAATTGGATTAAGTTCTGTCTAGCAGCGTTTAAAGAAATGTTGCTTGCTCTCTAATTACCATCAACTAGGAATTTAAACGGTCTATTAAATTTAAGCTGACGTTTGTTTTTTTTTTTCTTTTTTCTTTCTTTTCTTTCTTTTTTTTTTTTTTTTTTTTTATCCAGGGTAGTTCTAGTTCTCACATATTCTAGGATTTTGGAGGCTTTTTTTTTTTTTTTAAATTCTTTAAATGTCTACAGAGTGCTCTCTTCCTCCCCACCTTTTAAAAATATTACATTTCTGTAGCAGGATTATAAATGATGTTGTTATATACTGGCTTCGTTGAAAAACGGAAGCTCCCAGCCAGGTTCATCAGGCTCTGTTAGCCTTGGGAAAGCAAGCTGGTGAACTGGGTTCTTTGTGGGAAAGAAATTTAGGGACTCCTACGTGAAGCTTTTTGGATGGAGTGTGGCTTGCCCCTTTATCTGTATAGCAAAAGGATAGGCCTGTAATGAAAATCAGCTACCTTTACTCTGTGCTTGAGCTTTGAGTGAAAAATCCGAGTGTTCTTCATCAAAGTGGGTGGTGTGTGTGCTTTCTTGGGGGCTGGGACTGGGGTAAAGCAAATGAGGCATTAAGGGTGTAACCATAAAGCGCATGACCCTGAGACATGGTGCCTCCCTTGCCTTGTCCTCTTCATGCTGATGGATGACCTGTCCTTCATGCTGATGGATGACCTGTGTCCACAGGTCACAGGTTTCAGGGTTTCAGAGAGTTATAGGACTCACCAAAAAAATCCCTCCTTTTTTTTTTTTTGTCCACGGCCCACGGCAACCAGTCGTACACGTTTGTACAATTTATTTTGCATATGATTGTATGCTACCTAAAAGCACGTATTACCTCTCTAGGCTTTCATTCTCTTTCCCTTGCCTCAATTTTGGGGTATAAATATACGATTTTTTCTAATGCAGTCATCAGCGTTCTGGTTTCGCTTTGGCTGCTTGCCAAATGGTGCCTGGAGCAGCCCCCCGTTTCTCGCTTACCTCCTCTAGCTTGATTGGTTCTTTTTTTTTTACATGGGCTGAGTTCTGTGTTTTGTTGAAGGCATCTGTGACAGCAGTTAGGGTTCAGTTTGTAGCAAATGCTAGGATGAGGGAGCACCGTGGGCTCCCTCGTTCAGGAACTAGAATATATGTTACCTTAAGGTGAGCCTGGAAGGATACCCGAAAGAAGTATTTGTTTCTGTCTGCTTCCCAAGGACTGGGGGCGGGACTCCAGCAAGGGCTGGGGTGTGTGTGTGTGTGTGTGTGTGTGTGTGTGTGTGTGTGTGTGTTGCTCTGATCTCAGCTGCCTCAGACCCTGTCACAACTTGCTCGTGCCCTCAGCTGCAGGAATCCTCGGTGGAAACCCATTAATGTTCGCTGTCGAACTCCACATATGCCTTTGGAACTGGCTCACTGTCATTCCCCAGGTGTCTCTGGGGGAGACCATGTCAACTGCCACCGTCACTTTGGGGGAGTTCTGCGACAGCGTGCCAGCTGCTGGAGTCCCCTGCTGTGGAGCCCTGTGGCCCCTTTCACTGTGAAGTATCCCCAGGCCAAATTGGTGGGTAAACGAGGTAATCCTTGGTGGTGCTCTGAGAAGATTTTTTAAAATTCTTGACCAACAGGACAGTCAGCTTCCTGGGACGCCCGGGTGGCTTGGCGGTTGAGCGTCTGCCTTCGGCCCAGGGCCTGATCCCGGGGTCCTGGGATCGAGTCCCACGTCAGGCTCCCTGCATGGAGCCTGCTTCTCCCTCTGCCTGTGTCTCTGCCTCTCTCTGTGTCTCTCAGGAATAAATAAATAAAATCTTAAAAAAAAAATAGGACAATCAGTGACTCTCAAGACACCCCGTAAGGTATCAGTATCAACCTTGCAGAGAGGGGAAGCTGCTGAAAGAGTCCATGCATTGGTCCTAACTGGCATCTTGGAGACCACGCAGGTCAAGGAACTGAGATCTGGGACCTGATCTTGACTCCACCAGGGGCAAGCTCAGTTGCCCTGGGGCCTGTTCCCCTAACTACAAAAGAATGGGATTGGCCCACCGCTGCTTAAAATATAAAAATTAGGCGACTTGTTAACTCAAGTTTCCAGCTTTTTTTAAAAAAACAAACAAAAAACAAAACCCGAGATGACTGGATTCTCTAACACGGTGCTGTTAGAATCGAGTTTACCACTCCCGGCTTCAGGCCTTCCTGTCTTTGTATTCAGGGTAGTAGATGCTCATGAAATCTTTGTGGAAATGTGATTTTTTTTTCATCCTGTCCTTGTCCATCACAGATGGGAAAGGCTACTGGAGCTTCTGAAGCGCTTACCTCTGAGAGCTTGTTTCCTTCCCGACGGTTCCTTTCTAGGCTCCAGCGTCTTTAGAGTCACTGGCAAGAAAATGAGGAGCCTGTGTTTTTCACTGGACCCCTTACTAGCTCTGCCTTGTAACTGCAAAAGGTGGTCTACGCTTCCGTCCCCACGCCCATCTCCATTTACAGCTGTCAACTTGCCTTCATAATGTTACTTCCGAGCGTTTGTGGCGTGACCCTGGCCCCATGGAAGCAGGTAGTTGATGCTCCTGTACCCTCTCTGCTTCCTCTTCTCAGATCCCAGCACCCGCTGGACCTCCTAATGTTTGGCTGTTGAATGAACTTGAGGTGACCCCACGACCTCCGTGAAGTGATAAGATCCCGAGAGCCCCTTCAATTTTATGAGTCTCTATTCAACACTCTTTATACTTGGCTACGTGACACGGAGGGAAGTTTCCTTTCCCTTGATCTCGTTTTTTTCTCATGAAAAAGCATCACCTCCTGTTCCTGCCATGGGAGGGTGAAGCTTATTTTTTTCTTTTTTACCAGATAGCACAAGTTAATCTAGAGCACATTTCCAACCACGCTGAAAACTTCTATTGTCTGCGAGACGGTAGCTGTGGGGCGCTGTGTCCCCCACCAGGCTAAAACCGAGGTGGGACGTGTCAGAAGTGGAACTGCTCACGTAATGGTCAGTCTCAGCTACTGCTGCTGTCTAGACGTTACGGTTTATCATCCGGAGGCCCTGCCCCACCACTCTGGATGCCACTTAGGGGGCCGCACCCTCGCAATTTGCTCTCCAAGAAACTCGATCCTTCTAGCGGGGCTCATAGATGAGTAAATAAGATGTGTGGTGACTCCCCACAGTTTTGCTTGACTTACACCAAAGGAGGGGATTTTTTTTTTTCTGGTGATTATACGATGGTTTGCAGGCCAGGGCGATGGAGACGATCTGATGGAGTAATTACTGCTCTCTGGATCGGGATGGTCAGGGCCTTGAGTCCTGTGGGCATTGAGGAGAGAGTGCTAAGCAGAGGCGAGCACTTGAGCTCACCTCCTGTTTGCACTAATATTTACTGTTGCCGAAAATCACATTCTCAAGACTCTTCTATCTGCGTTGGTTTCTAGCGGAGCTTTGAGAACGTTGTCTCATTCTTCCCGTGGAGCCTCTTCCATCGTCCAGATGTGATCCTTCACATTTTCTCGTTTGTGGGAGCGTCTGTCCTTGGGCTGGCTTTTGTCTCCTAAGAGTTTCGAAGTTGGGTCCTTAATCAAAACAAGAGCTCTGCTCCGCTGCAGGGACCCGGGCCCGGACGCTCCACTCACCTGCACACAGACCCCGGAATCCTGGCCCACGAGGCCAAGATCCACCTGCCCATGGACAGTACTACTTTGGCAGATCCCAGTTCAGTCATCCTGGGAGATAATTTTTTCTGGCTCCTCAGAAAAGGGGAGGCCACCTAGCTGGGTGGCCTGGAGGGCCAGGTGTGATGTTTACTTCGTGCATGCCCAGCGGTGTGCTCGAGGCAGGATACGGCAGGCGGTGAGGCGGGCCAGGTCTTGGCCTTTGGGGAGCTTACATGCCATCAGGGCTAGTCAGTGAGCAAGTGAGCAAACATGATGACCTCACTAGCTGGTGGGGCCATGAGAAAACGGGGCCTCCTTCCAGTGAGAGACAGAGTGTGCTTGCTGCCCGGGCCCTGCAAGAAGCTGTTGATGATGTGCATGAAGGGAGGCCAGGGCAGTGGTCACCTCTCACCTCTGCTTAAAACAGAGCAGTTAGGAGTTCAGGCCCTTGAATGAGGTAGGATCCGACTCTTGGTCCCTCTTACTAACCTTCTGCCTTTGGACAAGTTAATCCCGTGCTTTGGTTTCTTCATGTGCAACCTGGGAGGCGTAAAACCTGCCTTGTTAGGTTCGAGTGGGAGATGAACTGAGATGCTAGCTGCAAATAGAGGCTTGCCACCATCCTGAACATCCTGACAAAAGCTAGCGTACGCTTTTCAGTGCCAAGTAGAATAAGACAGTCGGGGTAGGTGACTTGCAAAGCGGTCTCAGCACACTTGAATACCCACTTCTGACTCGGTTTCCATCTGGTGGCTGGGTGGGGCGTGTGGGGTTCAGATCGAGTTTCCCGGGTTGGATCAGTGTGGTCCTGTTTCCTGTGTGTTTCTCCTAGTGGTCCCCCGCACGCTGCTGGCTTGGCCCATGTGAGGAGTGTGTATGAGTGTGTCTGTAATACGTAGGGATGCTGGCGGTTCTAATGCGGGATCAGTGATGGGGTAGGAGTGAGATGAAACAGCTGATTAGTTAAGAGGCTGGTCAACTAGATGATGTGGTAGGTGGGCCCTGAAACACCTACTAGGCTGGTTGTGGGTTTGTGCGGCATCGGGGGGCCGGGGGGCAGTCATCTGCTCTCAGAGGACAGCTCTATAGGGCAGTCAGGGTAGGGGCTGAACGGACAGCTGGTGACGCTGAGGTTCTCCTGGCCACCAGCTAGACCGGACTCTTCACCAACCCATCAGCCTGCAGACCTCAGGAAGGGAAGTGACTTGCCCAAGCCCTCACTGCCCAAGTGACACCTGATTTAGGCCCCAGAGAAAGGTGTGAGAAGGCTGGTGGTCCTGGCAGTGATGCAATACAGTGAAGGTCCCAAACCTATATGTTAGGTGTCTAGGGTGCTAGTCAGCTTGGTGACCTCATTGCCGACACTTATAAATCACGAGATTTCGCATTTTTAAAAAAATCTGGATTTATGACATCTCTTGGAAGATTCAGATCTGGCGAAGCTGAACTTGTGTCCCGAGGTGGCAAAAACCAGATTGGATTGAGTGGCGACCGCCTCCTTTAGCCAGGGCGGGTCCAGCCCGCCCTCTGTGACATTCCACAAAGTATGGCAAGTATGTGACGCATCGTGGAAAAAAGGAAAGAAGTCAATCTTCCTTTTGTCTGTTTTTGTTTTTGTTTTTCTGACCTGTGTGTCCCTGTACGAGGCAGCTCCTGTTGCAGAAGTGCTGAAGAAATAAATCTGTGTCGAATGAATGAATGAATGAGTGAATGAATGACCTCTAGTTGATAGGTCACTTATTTGGGATCAGAACCCAAGTTCAAATCCTTACTTCTTCTAAGGCGCTGATTTGGAACAAATCAGTAACCTTTATGTTTTGTCCTTTTGTGGGGGTTGGGGAGGCGTCGCTGTTGTTCTTACGTACTTATCTGAGTAAGTCGTATGTTTTCGATGTTTCAAAATCCAGAGGTGCAAACAGGTTTACAGAGAGAAGTCTTGCCTTCCATGTCCCTGTCACTCAGCTCTTTTCCTTGAGGGCAACAGGTGTTCTCAATTTCTGGTTTGTCCTTCCGGAGATACTTTATGCAGTGCGGCGGAATAGGTAAATGGTCTTTTTCATCTATTTCACTTAGATGGTAGCAGAATGTACGCGTGACTTCTGTGTTTAGCACACTTGGATGGGAGGGCGCGCCAGTCAGGACGCAAAGAGTTTTCCCGTTCTTTCTTAGAGCCGCGTAGGACTCCAGCCTGTGGGACACCCAAGTTTTACATAGCCAGTCCTCTGTTGCCGGGCATCTAGGTTATTTCCAATCTGTTGCTGTCGTAAAGAAGGCGGTAGTCAAACTCCTGGTTTTGTAAGTCACTTGACGTGCCTAAAACTTCTGGAAGTCGAATTGCTAGGTCAGAGAGCGCAGCCTTTGTCCCTGTGGCAAATCTCAGATGTCCATGCCTTGCCGCTGGCCCCAAAGTGCCCTCCTTCCAGCAACGTGCGAGAGCGCCTGTTGCCCCAAACCCTAGTCCTGGGTCATCTCTTGGAACCTGCAAGGGTTCTGTAAAGAACACAGTGTGTTATGAAAGTATGAACACTCGCTATAATTGGGGCGGTGGGGGGTGCTTGGATGGGCCCGAGCTATGATCTAGGTTATCTGGTGGAGATGCATACCCCAGCCATTTGAAGATGAGGACACTGTGAGTCGTTTACTCAGGTCACCCAACTAATCCACCGTAGAGGCCGGATTCAATCCCAGGTTTGTCAGATTTCAATACCAGTAGGTAAAGCCTTTAATTTTGGGTGCGGTGTTCTCAGCTGACACATTACCCGTGGTTCCTGTATCTCCTGGAAGTAGTAGTGCCTCTCATGTGGCCGGGTCACTTGCTCATTCCTCGAGTGTGTGGAAAATTCCTGCACTGTGCTATGCACCTGGGAACAGCATAGATATAGTCTCTGCCTTCATGGACCTCACAAAAATAGTAAGAACTGATTCTGTAGTCCTTTATTGGGTGACAAGACAACAGATGGGGTAGGGGTGAGGAGGGTGGTCTGTGGGGTCATGTGACCTAATCAGGTGTGAGGGGAAAGAGTTCTCTGAGCAAGTGAAAGACAGGTGATAAAGGGTCTTATGGGTCAGGGTGAAATCAGAGAGGGATACAAATCATAAGAAAGTCTTGATCATATGAAACACATTGAGGGGTGCTGGGGGGGAGGGGGGACGGTGTAACTGGGTGATGGGCATTAAGGAGGGCATGTGATGGGATGAACACTGCGTGTTATAGAAGACTGATGAGTCACTGACCTCTACCTCCGAAACTAATAATACACTATATGTTAATTGAATTTAAATAAATTCTTAAAAGATTTTTAAAAACACTTATTCATGAGAGACACAGAAAGAGGCAGAAACATAGCCAGAGGGAGAAGCAGACTCCCTGCGGGGAGGGGAACCCGATGTGGGACTCGATCCCAGGACCCCGGGATCATGACCTGAGCCGAATGCAGATGCTCAGCCACTGAGCCACCCAGGTGCCCCTAAATAATTTTTTTCAAAAGCGTCTGTGGGTTTGAGCCTAGAGAAGTGGATGGGAAGTATTTCACACCGAGGGCATAGTATGTGTGAAGGTCCTGGGGCAGGAAAGAACAGGTGGTGTTGGAGGACATGAGGGAAGGCCAACGAGCCGGGGTGGAGAGTGGCAGGAGGTGACGGGATGACGATGGAGTTTGGGGATTTATTCTTGAGAGCTGCGGGGAGCCTTCGAAGGCATCGAAGCAGCAAAGGGAGGTGGCACCCAGGCCCCTGGGCGGTGGGGTTCTTGGCATAAGCTGTATGACCTTAGACAAGGCAAACATTGGGCACATCCATTTCCTTCTCTGTAGGGTGGGGCTGGCAACTCACACAGAGACTCTCAGAATATTTTGAGTGTCACACACGGTAGGCAGTAGGCCGTTCATTTAGACTCCGTGCCCGTGAGCGCACTTGTCACATGCACGTGTCCCCAGGATGTGAGGCACTCTGATGCTTTCTGTCCTAATCTATGAAAGGCTTTGGCCAACACCCCCACCATTCATTGTGGAAATACTGGAGGAATAGGTGACGTGTGTGCCTCACGGCTGGTGCTCACCCGTGGCCCCGTCGCTCCCCTGCCGGGTGTTCCCATAAGGAGGATTCTGGGCGGCCAGAGAGCAGGTCGGTCAGGTTCCATGACAGTATCCGCATCCAGACGGTGCTGAAGGACGCTGGCCCTTCACCTCTGCGGCCAGGTCCCAGGGCCGGGGCTGCGGGCAGGGCTCGGGCGGGGGGGAGTGGGGGCATGTGAATTGGGGCGTCTACGCGGTTTCCTGGGAGCTGGCTTCTCCTTGTGTTCACATCCGATTGTGAGCTGAGTTTTCTTTGACGTGTTTGTTACTTACCCTCAGGATGGCTTTTTCCTGGAAGCCTCAGAGTCATTATAAGCCACTCACTTCTTTAAGTTGTGTCACGGTCCTACTTCCCTTTTCAGGGCCTTAGTGGAATTTATTTGCATTTCCTACCAAGTGCACTACCCTCTTCTGCCCGCAGGCCTGTGTGCCCCGCTCCCCGGGCCCTGGCCCTGGCCCTGGCCACTGGGGGGAGAAAGCCAGCGCTGCATTTTTTTTTTTTTCTCCAAGAAACATCTCTTAGATCCTATATGTGGAGGTTTTCAAAGAAACCCCTGTACAGTGAGCCTGGGGGAGCAAGGCCAGCGATGACACCGATGACCCCCTGGCCACCACGGCCCTTCCTGTAGCCAGGACCCTAGATTTCCACATAACTGAACGTAAGCACCCCAAACTTGACCATTTATTTTTTCCTAAAAAATATTTTATTTATGTATTTGAGAGACTGATCAGGAGAGAGAGAAGGAGAGCAAGAGAGAGAGCGAGCACACGAGCGGGGAGGAGGGGGACGGGCAGAGGGAGAGGGAGAAGCAGACTCCCCGCTGAGCAGGGAGCCCGATGTGGGACCCGAGCCTAGGACCCCGGGATTAGGACCTGAGCCGAAGGCAGATGCTCAACCAGCACTTAACCGATGGAGCCACCGAGGCGCCCCGAAAGTTAACCGTTTGGATCATTTTATTTTAGTTTTTTAGATTTTATTTGAGAGCGAGTGAGCACACAAGCACGGGGAGGGGCAGAGACAGGGAGAAGCAGGCTCCCGATGCGGGGCTCGATCCCAGGACCCCGAGGTCATGACCTGAGCACAAGGCAGACACTCAGCCCATGAGCCCCCCAGGCGCCCCCATTTAGATCATTCTAGAAGTACATTTCACTTCGTGTTACCCGCACAGGCCCTTCCCAGGAGAATAGGCACAGAGCACTGGTTTCTCGAACTGAGAGCCTTTAGGCAAAGAACATTTTGTGATGGTGGCGGTGGCAGTGGTTGTGGCTGAACTGTGTCCCCCCACCCCCAACCGCTGTCTGTTCAGAACCTAGCTCCCAGCACCTTCCAATGTGACTGTATTTGGAGGCAGGGCCTTTGAAGAGGTGCTGAGGCAGGAGGGGCCTGTCAGGTGGGCCTAATGCAGTCGGCGGGCACCCGGGCGGAGGTGCGCACGCAGAGGGAAGGGGGCCGTCTGCGAGCCAACCAGGAGCCAAGGGCCAGCCCTGCCAACACCCTGATCTTGAGCGTCGAGCTTCCAGGACTGAGGCAAGTCGTTTCTGTTCCTTACATCCTACAGCATGTGGGCTCCGGTGCGCAGCCCAGTGGGCTAATGCAGCTGCGGCGGTGGGGACGATAAAGAGGAGCCACAGGGATCGTTTATCAAGCACCTCCTGGGTATACGGGGATGACTTTAAGCCTCCGTCGAGTCCCCTCACGCGGATCCTAAGTCACCTGCCACGTCACGGGTGAGTGATGGCGCTCGGGCCACCTCTGGCCCCTTTGCCCGGGCCCTTCGCTGCACCTGGGTCTAGCCCAGGTCCTGGAGCCCTGCCAGGCTCTCATCACCCCAACTCTCCAGAGTCACTCTTCCCACCCCCCCCCTTTGCACAGATGTCCAGACTGGGGTTCAGAGAGGCCCCCGGCCACACGGTTGAGTGTTCATTCTGGGTGGCTGCAATGAGAAAGCGCCCCAAGCTTGGTGGCTGCACGCAGCCGTAGTTGCGGAGGTGCAGAGCCCAGAAGCGGGGTGTCACAGGGCCGTATACCTCCTCTAGAGGCGCTGCGGGAGGACCCTCTTCTCCTCCTTCCAGCGGCTGCTGGTGGATGCTGCGTCTTCTGCATTCGTGTCATAAGGATGCATGTGACGGTATTTATGGCCCACCTGGAAAATCCAGGATGAGCTCCTCTCTCAAGATCCTTAGCAGAGTCACAGCATTGGCCATCTAACAGGATATCGACAGGCTCTGGGGACTAGAAGGGGAACGTATCTTTGGGCCACCAGTTTTTCTGCCTGTCACAGTCGGTGACTAGCAGAACGAGCCCTGATGCCAAGGCTTTGCCTGATTCCAGAGCCACCTGTGGGCCACTCATCCTTTGTAGCTTCCGGCATGAGACCCCCCGACTCCCCTGCTGGGGCACTATTTCTGCTGTAGTGGCAGTGGGTGTTAGAGGCACAGGGTCCCTGAGACTGGCCCGTGTGCACATCCTTTGCAGCAATGAACAACTGGAAACTACCCGAATACCCATCCACTGGGGATGGGTTACATCAAGTACGGTATCCCCTAAATGGAATAAAGGGGCCGGTAAAAATAATGAAGTAGATCACTCTAGGGTGATACGGGAAGATAGCCGCAATGTGTTAAGAGGAAAGAACAGATTACCATTTTCATTCAAATATTGTGCAGACACGTGTGTGTTGTTAAAAATCTCACTAAAATAAAATTCACTGGGGGCAACTGTGTGGCGCAGCGGTTTAGCGCCGCCTTCGGCCCAGGGCGTGACCCCGGGGTCCTGGGATCGAGTCTCACGTCCGGCTCCCTGCATGGAGCCTGCTTCTCCCTCTGCCTGTGTCTCTGCCTCTCTCTCTGAGTCTCTCATGAATAAATAAAGTCTTAAAAATAAAATAAAATAAAATAAAATAAAATAAAATAAAATAAAATAAAATAAAATTCAATTCACTTCCTCAGCCGCCTTAGCAACGCTGTAAGTGCTCGCTAGCCACATGGCTAGTGGCTACCACATTGGATAGCACAGATCTAGAACATTTCCATCCTCTCAGAAAGTTCTGGGCAGAGAGCTTCTTGGCACTAACTGGCCAGAGTGAGGCCCTTTTTCACTTTGTTACAGATTTATGTGCATGTTGACCTTTTTTTTTTATCATAAATAAGTAGGTGTGCTATTATCATAAAAATGGGAACACGGGGCGGGGGCTTCCAAGGCAATGTCCTCTTTCTTAAGCAGGTGGAAGTTTATCATAGTTTAAGATGTGTTTATGTGCGTGTAAAACCGCCTTTACATATGTTGCATAATGAAAATGTTTAAAGATCGGGGATTAAAAATGAAGAATTTCCTGGCAGGCCAGGCTTGAGGTTGGAAGACTTTCAGCTGGATCCGGTTCCCTGCCCCAAACACCTCCCAGCCGTGGCCAAATCACATAGCCTCAGTTTCCTCATCTGACGAGATCCCTACCCGACCTGCCTTACAGGTTTAGGGTAAGATTTACAAGTGTGGTGATGTCTGGAAAGGCTCTGAACCTGAGGAACGTCCACATGGAGGTGAAGGTTCAGTAAATAACTATGTGGCCCGTGGCCCGAGGCCCGAGGGGGAAGGTACTCTGAGAGCACAGTGGCGGCGTGGAGGCCTAGCATCTTCGCCAGCCGAGTGTTTTCCAGATGTTGCCAGAGCCGGTGCAAGGGTTGCTATAGTCCCACTGCTGCCACTGCTTGGAGATTTAGACATACCAAGTTATTTTATTTATTTAACAAGCACTTAAGTAGCATTTGCTCTGCGCCACGACCTGTCCTTTCTAAACGCTTTCAGGTATGTGCTCATTTTATCCTCGTTGCAACGCTGAGGCTGTCCCCGTGGGCATGCTCACCTCCTGCAGAAGGATGTCAAGGCTCAGAGAGGTCAAGCAGCTGACACAGGGTCACACAGCCAGTAAGGAACGGGATCCACGCTTCCTCCTTTCGTCCCTTCTGCACGCTGCTCCTCTTGCCCCCATCAGGTGCGGCCGCAGGGTTCCTTATGTCCGTTCATCTCTCTCAGGGGCGTGAGGCTTAAACCTGGCGAGGAAGTCTCACGACTAGGTGTTCCCGGCTGGCTTGGTAGCTGCTGGGTCCTGGCTGAGGCTGGCAGCGGGACGAGGTGGGGAGAGGCTGCGGGATTAGGTCAGCCTGGGCACCAGCCAGCAATTTGCCACCGGGCTTCATCTGCACCTTGGGCCGTGAGCTGGAGCTTGGGGAGTACAGACGAGTAAGCGCTGGTGCCCCCATTTAAGGGGTTTACAGGATGGCCAGGGTGGGCCCGTGGCACTTTCCAGAAGGAGGGTCAGGGACGCTGAGTCCTAGCCGGTGCCGGCTGTCCTCCCTCAGAGACGCCGGACGAGTTGCTCTGCTCCTCCGGGCTCATCTGTGGACGGGGCCCCGTCTGTCCTGTCGCTGTCCCATGTGTGGGTAGGACGCCGGGGCCGAGCACCTGAACGGCCCAGCCAACTCACCTCTCCGCTGCCCAGAGTGGGAGGTGGCTCCCATCACCTAAGTCTTGGGTCCTCGGAAAAGGAGTTGACATCCCGTGATCACACACACGTGTGGCACTTAGCAGGCCCCCGTGGGGAAGGGCAGCGAAACGGATCCTCTTCCCGCCGTGTGACCCTTACGAGGCAGGTGAAGTCCCACAGCCAGCCCGTGGGAGGGCTCCGCAGGGCCGCCTGGCTGGCTTTCTTCTTCGCCTCCTCCGATGATTTGCAAAGACCACCCCGCCCCCCGCCCCGTTCCAGGGGCCCTCGTGCAGTCGTGGCGACTCTGAGGCAGAGCAGGCCTCTATGCGTCTGCCGGACGCGTCAATAGGTTTTAGTCCCTGCTGGTTCATCCTGAAGGCGGGTGTGGGGGGCAGGGGGCTCTACAGGCACACAAGTCAGCTGTCCTTTAAGAATATAAGAGACAGTCCCCGGCCTTCCTTCGCGGCCCAGGTCATCATCCGTGTGCCTGCGGTCCGCACGGCCCAAGCCCCGTCTGTCTCCAGGCCCTCGTCCTCTGCCGACAGGAGCCGCGTGTTTAATTGGGGGTGGCCCTGTGCCCCCTCCTTCTGCAGACGCGACAGCTGGGGCTGCAGAACGTGCTCCCCTCCCAACCTGAAGGTTGACACGTGTGGCTGGAGTCCCCCTCTTACCTTCGGCGTTGGTGGCTGGGGATGGGCAGCACTAGCTGGGGGGACAGGTGGCCGTGAGAACTGGTGTGGGCTAAACCCTAAACCCTTGACAGAACAACGTGACTGTGCCTTGGTGCTGTTTCCTTTTGACCTTCGCTTGGCCCAGCTCCCAAACTCACTTTAACTCAACCATGTGGACTCTAGGTTCCCTTGAGAATGTGAGACTAGGGGCGCCTGGGTGGCTGAGGGGTGGAGCATCTGCCTTCAGCTCAGGTTGTGATCTCGGGGTCCTGGGGTCTGCTTATGTCTCTGCCTCTCTCCGTGTGTCTGATGAAAAAATTTTTTAAAAAAAATCGGAGACTGAAATGACAGGAGCAGAGGTGCTGGGGAAGGCGAGCTGTGGGCCTGTCGTTCTGCTGGGCACGTCACACAACCTCCACGGTCCACCACGGTCGGCGCTTGCTGGTAGCTGTGGACTCGTGTGCCCCAGGTCACACAGCTGGGGACGGGCCTGGCTAAGACTCCAATGTGGGTTCACCCAAAGCCGTGGCCGTTAACCACAAAGTTAACCATGAAGTCCTGGCAGCTGCTCAGGGGACAGTATCCTTGAACCCAGCTCTGCAGGGTAAGTTAGATTTAGATAAGCAGGGAGGAAAAAGAAGGAAATCCTGGGCAAGGGAAGCCGCAAATACAGTCAGAAGCTGGGGTGAGGGAAGAAGTGCGGCATGGAACCGTGCCTACAGTGCAGGCTCCACAGGGCAGCGACCACGTTGTCCAGAGCCACCACTGTGTCCCCAATACCTAAGCGAGTGACCCGTGCATGGTGTGTGGGCAATCAGTATTTATTGCTCGAACATAGACCTACCCTATGATCCAGCAATTTCACTACTGGATGTTTACCCCCCCCCAAAAAAAATACAAAAAACACCCCACTAATTCAAAAGGATACATGCACGTTTATTGCAACGTTATTTGCACTAGCCGAACTACGGAAGCGGCCCAAGTGTCCATCGACCGATGGATGGATAAAGAAGACGTGATATATTGAGACAAGGGAATATTACTCAGCCATCAAAAAGAGTGAAATCTTGCCTTCTGCAATGACGCGGATGGAGCTAGAGAGCATTAGGCTGAGTGAAATCAGCCAGAGAGAGACAAATGCCACGTGATTTCACTCACGTGTGGAATGTAAGAAACAAAACAAGTGAGCAAAGGAAAAATAAAAGAGAGAGGGGGGCAAACCAAGAAATGGACTCTTAAGTATAGAGAACACCCTGACGGAGACCAGGGGAGACGTGGGAGGAGGGATGGGGAGACAGGTGCTGGGGGTTAAGGAGTGCCCCCGTCACGATGAGCACCGGGTGAGCCCTGGAAGGGCTGCATCCCTTTATTGTACACCTGAAGCTCCTATAAGGCCGTGTGTCAACTATACGGGCATTAGCATTTATAAAACACGAAAATAAAATCAGGAAAAAGAGGATTTATTGTGCGTATGAACCCACAGACCGTTGTCTTTCTCGGTAGACCTTGCGCCTCTCGAGGGCAGGGATTGTGTCTTAGAAATCTGTGGACGCTCCACAGCTCCCAGCGGTTGATAAATCGTGAACGTTCGGTAAATGTGTTCTGGTGGTGAACGGACGGCAGCTGAGGGCTGGGGAGACGTGCCTGAGTGAACAGGCATTGATGCTTTGGGAAACACCGAGTAAGACACGTGGGCTGGCACACTGAGGGCATAGCGCGGAAGGCCTGTAGTGCCGGGAGAAGTTGCTCTTGTGTTCTTTTTGGGGCACTAAAAAAAAAAAAAAAGCTGGTTCTTAATGCCCAGTGTTGCAGGGTCTACAGAAACGAGGCAGGGCCCAGATTTTGACTGGTGTTTATAGGAACTGGTGCTTATAGGACACGATCTTAGAGATCACTTCTCTATAGGATGCCCTTCGCTGCCTTCCCACTTCGGGGTAAGCACAGTGTCCCCATTGAAAGGAGACCCATAAAAACGTGCAAATGGGAGCTTGTAGGGTATGGGTTATGGCAGGGTCCCGGTGTTGCTTTTCTTTTTTAAGATGTTATTTGAGAGAGAGAGTGCACTCACGTGTGCATGATGGGGGCAGAGGCAGAAGGAGAAGCAAACTCCCCCCACTGAGTGGGGAGCCTGCTCTGGGGCCCGACCCCAGGACCCTGGGATCATGACCTAAGCCGAAGGCAGGTGCTTACCCGCCTGAGCCACCCAGGCGCCCGGGAGTTGTCTTTAAGATCGTGTGTCCGGAAAACCCCAGCCAACCTCCTGTAAGAAATGATCTGCTCAACCCTAAGGTTTTCAACAAAAGCTGCTCTCTCTCTCTTTTTCAGGTATTGGCTGCATTTGTGGTTTTAAGAAAGCCGGAGGGCCGGGACGCAGCCCTGGGAGCAGCCCTTCCCGTGGGCACTTGGAACCTTCTGGTCCAGAGGAGAAGCCGCCCCCTCACTCGGACCTATGACCCGCGGCTTCGCCCCCGGTCCGCCCACTGAGTTCCACGAGATGGGCTCCTTCCGCAGGCCCAGGCCGCGCTTCATGAGCTCCCCGGTCCTCAGCGATCTGCCCCGGTTCCAGGCAGCGCGGCAGGCTCTGCAGCTGAGCTCCAACTCGGCCTGGAACAGGTGAGGGCGCGGGGCTGAGCAGGGCCGGGCCTGGCCTAGCGTCTGCCCCTCCCGAGAGCTGTGTGGCAGCAGGTCGTGGCTGCGCGGCGGGCGGGTGACCGGGCGCACGTGTTCCCTGCAGAGCGCGTCCGCGGGCCTCCCTGGGGTAGACAGGAGGTGGGCACTGGGGGCCGCAGGGCTATGGGTCAGTGGGCCCGGAGTTTACGGTTACTGTCCTGCTCCATAGACTACTCGCGTACCCGGGGTTGGGGGGCGCATATAAGTAACCCTAAGTCCCCCGTGACCTCTTTGGGAAGATAAGACGTATCTGTGAAAAGCCAAGCGGGTGATACGAACCAGGGACTCTCAGTACCTGTGAGCCGCAGGCGGGAGGGAAAGGGGACCCCGTGCTTTTATACGGGGCCTGCCCAGTGTTTTGTACCCTGAACGTTGAGCAGGGGCTGCATCACACTGTGTCTTGCATCCCTGTGGGCTGCTGTTTTCCACATCTAGCAGTTACTCTTTTGGTGGAGTAAATACATCATTATTCTAAAGCATTTCTGGATTCTTTGTACTTTGGGTCATTTTGGATTTTCTCATGAATGCATCCCCTTAAAATGGGGATGAAGAGGGGGCTTGGACATGCTTTGCTGTGAATGGATCTGTGTTCTTTCTCTTCTTTCTTTCTTTCTTTCTTTCTTTCTTTCTTTCTTCTTTCTTTCTCTTTCTTCTTCCTTTCCTTTCCTTTCCTTTCCTTTCCTTTCCTTTCCTTTCCTTTCCTTTCCTTTCCTTTCCTTTCCTTTCCTTTCCACCTGGGTTCCTTGACAAAGACAGGATTGTAATCTGCTCCTTGCTGAAATATTGGGCTGGGGTCCCAGAGCGTGTAGAGTCCAGACTTAACTGTGGCCCCTCTATGGACCAACCCCCTGCAGCCCAGCCTGTACACCTCACAGGACGGGGAATAGAAGGGGCGAGAGGGGCGGGCCTCCCAAAGAAGGCATAAGGTGGGCAACAGATGCGTGAAAAAGTGCCCCCCGTCACTCGGCATCAGGGAAACCCAGATTGAAACCGCACAGAGATACCACCTCACACCATGAGAATGGGTAAAATTAACGAGGCAGGAAATGACGGATGTTGGCGAGGATGCGGAGAAAGGGGAGCCCTCCTGCACCACGGGTGGGAATGCGAGCTGGTGCAGCCACTCGGGAAACAGTGTGGAGCGTCCTCAAGGAGTTGAAAATAGAGCTACCCTATGACCCAGCAATTGCACTGCTGGGGATTTACCCCAAAGATACTGATGTAGTGATCCGAGGGGCACCTGCACCCCAATGTGTGTAGCAGCAAAGTCCTCAAAAGCCAAACTGTGGAAAGAACCCAGATGTCCGTCGACAGATGAAGGGATAAAGAGGATGTGGTCTGTATATTTATAATGGAATATGACTCAGCCATCAGAGAGATGAAGTCTTGCCATTTGCAACGATGTGGACGGAACCAGGGAATATGATGCTGAGCGAAATAAGAGAAAGACAATTACATGATTCCACTCATATGCGGAATTTAAGAAACAAAACAGAGGAGCATAGGGGAAGAGAGGAAAAAATAAAACAAGAGGAAATCAGAGAGGGAGACAAACCCTAAGAGACTCTTAATCACAGGAGACCAGCAGGGTTGCTGGACAGGAGGGCGGAAGGGGTAACTGGGTGATGGGCATCTAGGAGGGCACGTGGGGGGATGAGCCCTGGGTGTTCTAGAACACTGATGAGTCACCTCCCCCCCGAAACCAGTCGTACACTATATGTTAGTTAATTGAATTTAAATAAAATTTGGAAAAATGAAAAGGGAGGCTAGCCTCAGTGAAACTCTTCCAAGGTAATAGCAGACAGGGACCCCCTGAATGGGGGAACCCCAGGCACGGGCCCAGCGTCCTGTGGGCGGGTCCCACCCGGGCGGGTCCCACCCCCAGCCCCTGGTTAGTGCCACTTCCAGCGGGGCGGCCACCGGGCCGTGAGGAAGACCGGCTGGCCTCTGGCAATGCTGGGGGAGCAGGGCTGCTCTGGGTGCTCTTGCCTCGGTCTTCCCTTCTGTCCAAGGAGATGCTGGATTCCGGGGGTGGACACGGGGGCTCCCGGGCTCTTGCCCCCGCCTGCAGCCCTGAGCTCTCATGGACGTTGCCCCAGGCAGGCACATCCCCTGACCGGGCTCATTTCTGTTTCCTCCGTAGCGTCCAGACCGCCGTGATCAACGTCTTCAAAGGGGGTGGCCTGCAAAGCAACGAGCTCTATGCACTGAACGAAAACATCAGGTACGTGGACGGCGTGGCCAGGGGCCGTCCTCCCCCCGTGGGCCTGAGCTGGGCAGTGGGGCCACCCCCCTACCCCCTTGCCCTCCCACCCCTGGGAGTCTTAGCTTAAGGTCTTTGTCTGCTTGGCTCTTGGTGCTTCTGCCGACTTGACCTGGCTCCTATGGCTACTGAGTTCTGACACCCTTATCTGTGTAGACTTCTGACCCACGGAGGGGTCATCATGCATGTATTCTTGCGTAGAGTGCCTGTAGCAGGGGGGCCCCGGGGGGGGCAGAGGGATGATGTACTGCAGGTGTCCCACGTTCTGTACATGTGCATCGTGCCCCATGTAACCATCGGGGGCCGTGGGAGGTAAGATGGCCCTAGTGACCATGACCTTGGCGCGTATACCAACTTAAGTGACTTACCAATGTCTCTGTGCCTCAGTTTCTCTTTATGTGAAACAGGGATGGTGAAACGTGCCTCCTCCCAGAGGGATTCTTGTGAAGGTGTAAATTGAGTTGTCGTACAAATGACCTGTTAGGACAGGGCGTGCGCACGCGAGGTACTGGTGGCTCTCGTTACCGTCCATGCTGCTGCCGCCATCACTGTTAAGCGTTGGCGCTACAACCCTATAAGACGTGGCCTTCGAGGGGTTTGTTGGCTCCCAGAATCTTCCCAGCAGTATCAGCTTTTCAAGAATGTATTCACTCCTTCAGCAAATCTGTGAGAGCCTCGTTGTTGCCCAGGCACCGGAGGGGCAGCGCTGAGCCAAGACAGAGGTAGGCCCTGGCGCCCTGGGATTTAGTCAGTCAGGGAGATCGTCATTTGTCAACTAATCATACTCAGACACATAAAAGTGCCGCCGTGACAGCTGCTACGACACACCCGCCGTGATGATGACACGTCCATGTGACTCGATTTGGCCGAGGCCGGGGCGGGGGGTGGTGGGATATCCTGCTCGTGCTCTCTTCTGGACGATCAGTGGGAATGAACCAGGTGAGACTGCAGGTGCAAAGGTCCTGTGGTACAAATGAGCAAGAAACCAAGGAGAGGCCCACGTGCGTTGACTATCGGGGTGTGGGCGGGTAGTATGATCTGGCTTGTATCTTGGTGAAATGAGGGCAGAGAGGCCGGCAGGGCCGCCCAGAGCACCAGGATCTCCTGGGGACGGGAGGTTGTGCATCAGGCCTTTCGATGCTCTCCTGTGCTCCCCTGGGAAGTTGGAGCGTCCAGGCTAGAGACCCAACCCCCGAGTGGGCGGGACCATGAACAAGGCCATTATTTGGGGCCTGTTTATAGTTCTTGGCGCCCCGTGTGAAGGATCAGTGAGGCGTCTTAAGAGCTCTGCTCTCGTTAAGACCTTCAGGGCTCAGGAGGAAACTGAGGTGTGTTTGGATTCCTACCCAGGAGCTCAGATGTCACGTAATGGTTATACAAACGTGGGAGGGGACAACAGAGCTCGTCTAGCCCAGGGCCTCCTTTTACGGAGACGGAAACTGAGGCCCCGCGCAGTCGAGTGACAGGGGCAAAGCTGGGTCAGCCAACCCCTGAGTTGCAAGAGCTTGACTTAAGATCCTGGCCTCTCGGGGAGGGTTCTTCGACCCACTGTGGACGTATAAATAAATAACCCGGTGACTCAGGGATGTGCTCATTGTTCCTCACTTTGGGAGGCTGATCCTGAAATTGTACTTAACATCTTTGTTGGCGGGCAGCTGGGGGCCCCTGCCGATTCCTCCAGCCACGTAGCCCAGGGGTCGCGAACTCAGGACCTTCGGGGGCCCAGCGGGTCTTCTGAGTGGGTGAGGCCGGCCTGGGGGCACAGAGACGGGCGTGCACCCCCGGCTGAACGGGGATTGCCCTGGCGGGACAAGGACGCAGGGCCCGTGGCATGTCCACTTGTTTCTCGATCGGAAATGAAGGCTTTTATGTGAGATTTCCTGGCTTTTAAATGTTGATAAATAATTCGAATTCCGCCCCCCCCCCCAAACATTAGCACAGGTCAAACCAAACGCATCTGTGGGGCTGAACGCGGCCGACAGGCTGCCCGTTGACAAGAGGAGCCACAGTGAGCGCCAGGGCATCGCCAAGGGGGGCTGTCGTAGCGCCAAGGCCGCCTGGATGGAGGCTCCTGGGAACGCCCTGGGTACCCCTCGCACACATCGGCCCACTGGACCCGCCTCACAGCCCTGCGAGGCAGCCGGTGTCCTCGTAGTTTACCCATAAAATGGAGAATCAGAAAAATAAAATGACTCTCGTCCAAGGGCACCGAGCTATAGAAAAGGGTAGAGGCGGGACTTGAACCGCGGTCACCCAGCTATAGAAAAGGGTAGGGTCGGGACTCGAACCCCCGGCTGACTCAGACACCAGTATTCACTTGCCCAGGCTGCTGTAACCAGCCCCGCAGACTGGGTGACCTACACCGTAGATGTTTCTTTCTCATGGTTCTGGTTGCTGGGAAGTCTGAGGTCAAGGGGCCAGCAGATTCGGCTCCTGGGAGAGCCCGGTTCCTGGCGGCCCGCTCGTTGAGCCCTCACAGGGCCCCCCTTCTGTTTACAGGCTCTCCCATTTCTTCTGACAAGGTGGCTAAGCCCATCCCGAGGGCCCCGCCCTCATGACCCCATCGAGGCCTGATGACCTCCCGAAGGCCCCATCTCCAACGCCAGTGTGCTAGGAGCAGGGGGTGGCCTGGAACATAGGAGAGTGGCAGGGACACGGGTCCGTCCCCAGCGACACCTGCGCTCCCCGTACTGTATCGTAGGGTTAGAGGTCTTAGGCCAGAAGAAAGGTTGGTCTGATGGTCTTGGTCTTTGTCTTCTTCTCATGACGCCTCCGGAACCCCTGTTTCATGACGTGCTGTGCTTCCTAACGCCCGTCTGAGAAGCATGACACCCCCTCCCCGATTCCCCCTTCCAGTGTTCGGTCTGGGCTGGGGGGAGCAGTTTGCTGGCCGGTCCTTCCTATAGTTTCGAGGCACGTTCAGGCTGGTGGGAAACCTTTGTGGTCGGGGTTTGACACGGACCGCCCACGTGTGACTGGAGCCCAGGAGAAGTCAAAGCAGAGGTCCAGGTCCCCATGGTCTGGGCCTTTTCTGGGCGAGTGGCGAGAAGTGGAGACGGGTTTTCACGTCACGGACACTCAGAGCCTGTTTGAGAAGGCAGGACACCGGCTGGGCGGAGATGCATGACCCGGTCCCAAATGGACTACGGGAGCCGGCCCACCCCTGCACCCATGTCCGCCGGCGCCTGCGTGGCAAGCAGCACAATTGTCCCTTATTTCCGCAACCGGAATGCCTAGACGGGCCTGCCACTCTCTGGCTAACCTTCACATGGACGCTTGGGTTTTGATTTTCCTTTTCTTCTCTCTTTTGGAAGCAGGCCTGTAAACTTGACAGGGTTGAGGCATGCCCAGTGCAGGGAGAGGGGTGCAGGGGAGGGGGGGCAGGGGCACAGGACATAGGAACGTAGGGTAGAGAACGTGGAAGGAGACAGGACTGGTGATTGCTGAGCCCACTTGGCGATCAGTCCTGACAGGTCTTTGTGCCAGGAGGATCTGTGCCAGGTCCAGTAGAAATTTTTTTTTTGACTTGTTAAGAGAGTTGCATCCAGGGCACCCGGGTGGCTCAGTGGGTTAAGCATCTGCCTTCGGCTCAGGTCATGACCCCAGCGTCCTGGGATCAAGGCCCTGGGTTGGGCTCCCTGCTTAGTGGGAGAGTCTGCTTCTCCCTCTGCACCTCCCTGCTCGTGCTCACTCTCTCTCTCAAACAAATAAATAAATATTATTTTTTAATAGAAAGTAGTGTCCAGATTCAGAGAGGCTGGGACTCAAGATTGGCTGCGTGACCTTCGGCAAGGCACTTTGTTTTTCTCGGTCTCTGCTTTTCTAAAACGGGGGTGATCACAGCCTCCACCTCACGGTGGTCTGGAGCACTGAGATAATGCTAAACACGCCGTGAGTGCGGATCCGGTGCGTAGTAGATGTTGAGCATCGTCATTCTTAACGCTTGTGAAATGTGAGCGACAATGAAGCGATAACACGACCGGCGAGCACTGGGCAGTGTGGTGACTCACCCCACGGACGGTCTCGTGTAAAGATTCCTCCAGCGGTTGGGATGCGGTGAGCTCACCCCGAATGAGAGATGGTCCAGGACGGGGCTCCTCCGAGAAGGTTCTGGACTTGGAAGTTTGGGTGAGGAGCCAGCTGTTTCTCCTTTCCGCAGAGAAAAGAACGAGAGGAAATGACTCGGTTCTCCGTTCCACTCAAGCCAAACGGTAATAAACTTTGATGGATTGCCCACGTCCAGAATCGGAGCGTAGGGCGGTTTGCGCGGGTCGCCGCGGCCAGCCTTGGCCTTCTTGCCGACGGCGTGCCCGGGAAGCGTGAACTCATTTAAATATTATTGATGCAAAAAAGGTTGACCGGGAAGATGAAGGTTTCGTGTGACTAGGTGTCAGAATGCTGTCATCACAAGCCATTTGGTGACTTTGGCCATCGAAAATGAGCTCCGGCGTAAATTTTAGCAGGTAGGCCGCAGGGTAGCGGTGAGGAGGACCTTTGGGCGAGTTCAAAAACACGTTATTAGTAGATCAAGGGGAGGATGTGGAGGCCTTTTTTTTAAGAACAAATTCATCAGGAATGTCACACCTCCACGAAGCAGCACATTTCCCCCCCGAATAAGTCCAGGCACACGGTCAGTCGGCGTGAGGACCGCAAGTCAGAACTGCCTCCGACAGCAGGGCTCGCGTATTGTCATATCCCCAATGGCAAGAATATGACCCTTGAGGAGAGTGAGAGCCTTCTAGTGGGACCCGCACTCGTCACAGTCCACGACGCGGCCCGCCCGAAAATCCCACCTGTGCTGGCTGGTCCGGGGTGCCCTCTGGGTTTGCATTCCCTGTGGGGCACCGCCGTGGCTTTGAACACGCCGACGTGGCTGCAGTTCGGCAGCGGGGGGTATGTGCATGGGTCTGAGGTTTGAGTTGCGTGAGCTCTCCCGGGAACCAGAGTTCAGGCCTGACACC